ATGTCTCATTTACACGCGAGACAAGAACAACACCATCGCTCGGATTAGACAAGGACAAAGACATAACTTTACGATGGTGGGCCAGTGTTGACTACCGTATGAAATGTTACCCATAACAACCAAGAAACAATTTTTTTTTAAAACAATTTTGTAGTAAAATAAATTAATTTAAATATTTTAAATAATATATTTCGAATTGAATGGAATAGGTATAAATAATAAAATAACTAGAAATATTTGGTTAAAAGGGTTTATATTCAGTGTAAAATCAAACTCCGCTATGAAGCATCAGTTCTGTATACAATTGTCTTTTAGACTCTTTTTTATAAGTTTGTGTGAATATTTTACTTTCATGATACAATCTTATTTTTACCTATGTATAAATAATGGCACTTAATAGTAAAAGTGAATGATCAACTTGTACTGATAATAAATAATCCCCAGGGTGTATTGCAAATTCTTTTAATATTTTAAAATACAAATAAAAAAAAATATAAAAAATATATTTTTTTTGTTTTTTAATTTTTTTTATTTATATTTATTTACTTTTTTATTTTATATATATATATTTTTGTACAATTGTTATTTATATTTGATAATTAATTCAGAAAAATGAATGAATTAATTAATTAATTCTTTTATACAAAAGTCTCTAGCACTGCGAGCTTGGTAGAAGGTGAACGTTCAACGGGTCCCTAAAAAAAGTGATCGATTCAGCCCTAACAACTACCGTTCTTCCTATATTTTATTATTATTGACAAAATGTTTAAAAACAGTATAAAGCATATTATTTCATAAATTATAAATTCTCCCACTAATGTGGGAAAACAAAAATGATTTTTTAATGGTAACACTGATTCTAAATTACAATTATCAATGTTTTATTTCAATTATAGCCTTATTTACGATATTATCAATACAAAAACCATAAACTCACACGTGATAAGTAATTCCGCATGATTTATTATGGTTTTGTGACCTGGAATCGCATTCTTTCACTACGCATTTACCCATTTTGGCGATTGTTACTGTCATGTGTCGCTATGTTCAACTCGGTTGACGCCACATTGAACACTGAATTGACGTTTGCTACGCATATGCCTGTGGACAGATGTGCAGTAGCAACGATTTTAGGCGGTAATTACTCATCTATGTAAGTAATATATCAATGCTCACTACATTTAATTTTATTACAATTATTTCGAATAGACAAACATCATTTCGTATAGACAATGAGAACAAGTATAGACATTCCGTGTGGTGACGGATTAAGAATACAGATTGTCACCACCCCTATTCATCCCGTGGGTGTTGTAAGAGTCAACTAAGGGAAAAAACTACGCAGAACAACAGCACTGCAGAGAGAAGGAAAACTTGACACAAACCCTATACCAACCCGTCTGGCCAGCGTGGTATAGTAGGCCAAAACCTCCTTCCCAAGGAGAGGCCTATGTCCAGCAGTGGACTAGTAAAGGCTGTTGATGATGATGATGATGAATGAGAACAAGAGTCATTTCACTGCGTAGGTAAAAACTGAGTAGATAAATATTCAAATGCAAGCATGTACCTTTTTTTTTTTTTTCCGTGCGGAAATCCCCTCGGATACCACCTGTCGGTGGCATGTCGGACTCGAACCGACTAAAACCGCACGCTGTCGCCGGGTACTAATAGCCGGGGAACCAGGTATACCCTAGAAAGGAAGTCCCTGGTCCCCCGACATACCTCGGGTCATCTACAGACGAGTAGACGACCCCCCCCCCCCCCCCCCCCCCGTGTGGGAACCCCATGTTCCCTGTGCTCCCTGGAAGCGAGCGCGCTTCGCAACGCGCTCGCCGCCACCCCGGCCTGCTTCTGCTAGGGTGACAGATGGCCTCACCTGTCACCCCCAGGCCTGCGCTTATGGAGGACGGAGGTCGTTCTGCGACCTCCGGCGCCTGAGTCGCCTGCGGTGCCTGGCCCGTGCCCGGGCCTGGCGGGCCGGGAGAGTTCTAAACCTCTCCCGGTCCCGCTCCGCCGTCTCCTTCGCGAGCATAACTTGCTCGCAGAAGGAGACGGCAGAGTTCCACGCACTCTCGCTCCGCACGATAGCCGCAATCAGGCTATCGAGCGAGAGAACTCCCACTCCGATGGCCGCCACGAGGTCTCGCCTCTGCTCGACCCACGCCGGGCACTCTGCCAGCGTGTGGAGAGCCGTGTCCACGGTCTGGCCATCGCAGTGGTGGCACTCAGGCGTTGGCTCCTTGCGAATCAGACACAGGTGATCTCCGAAACATCCCTTCCAAGTGATCACCTGCGTCAATCGGTATGAGAGGGTCCCGTGACGCCTCTCGAGCCAATCCTCCATAACGGGTCTTACCGCCGCAATGACGGCGTGCCCGGCGCTCGGTTGCCCGAGTCGTTCCCTCCACTCCCCTATGATGACCTGGCGGAGTTGGGATTTCCGGTCATCGATTTCTCGAATCTCGGGGCATCGACCCAACTCCTGCGCCTCCTTGCGCCACTGATACAGAGCCGCAAGGGCTCTCGCCTCCAGGTCCCACGGTGGAGTTCCGGCTAGGAGACTCGCCGCCTCAAAGGAGATCGTGCGGTACCCCCTTATGATCCTGATGGCCAGCATTCGCTGCGGTCGTCGCAGTATCGCGACGTTGCTGGCCTTCAGGGCCCCCGCCTATACTGGGCACCCGTAAAGGGCCATGGACCGCACAACCCCCGAGTAGAGTCTCCTGCAGGAGTCATCGGGTCCCTTCATGTTGGGCAGCAGCCGCGCCAACGCACGCGCTGCCCCAACCAACTTGGGGACCAGACCTCGGAAATGATATCCGAAGTCCCATCGGCCATCGAGTACGAGCCCCAGATACCTGATCGAGGGCTCGATGCCGATGCGAGTGCCTCCTATCGTGAGGCTAGATCCCTCAGGCGGCTTCCTCCGAAGCCCGTGGAAGAACAGGGCCTCGGACTTGTGCAGAGCCACCTCGAGACCCAGCCGCCGGATACGTGCAAGCGTGTACCTACATACCTATTCATCTAATGATTCTAATGTTACAAAAAAATTAACGATTAATAGTTCGGTAAACATAATTACTTTAATGATCTTGAATAGAGATCTGATTTCGGTTTGAATACAACATTCATTTTGAGTAGAGGATTCTGAAAACATATCTCATTTTGAATAGGGGGTTAGAACACTCATTTCTAATAGATGTATATGAATAGAATGCTCATTTTGAGTAGATGATACTGAATAGAATACTCATTTTGAATAGAGTATTGGGGTGCCTCTTTGATCCAGGTACTCCAATACTCACCTACTCAGATGGTGTAAGAAAACTCTGCAAAGATTCAACCGAGGATAGTCAAATCACGTCTATGACATCATCAGTGGTGACGAATCTTAGATTTATGCCTACGATCCTGATTTCAAACAATAATCTACAATCTGGGTCTTTCAAGACGAGCCAAAGCCGACTAAAGTTCTTCGTTCTCGAAGCAGTTCAAAGAAGATGGTGGCCACGTTCGTTGGAAAAACCGGCCATGTTGCGACTATTGCACTTGAAGATCGTAGAACGGTTAACGCAGAGTGGTATAATACAGTTTGCTTACCACAAGTCATCGCCGAACTTCGAAAATCTAACTCAAGCGATCTAAATCTAAAGACAACGCAAGCTCACACAGCGCTCGTCAAACGATTGAATATTTGAAGCAGGAAAAAGTAGAAATTCTGGACCATCCTCCGTACAGTCCTGACCTAAGCCCTAACGATTTCTTTGCATTTCCTAAAGTTAAGAAAAGTCTTCGTGGTCAAAGGTTCCAGTCCGGTGAAGAAGCAGTCGACGCTTTCAAGTCAGCTATTTTGAACACCCCCACTTTAGAGTGGAATAAATGTTATAATAACTAGTTTGAGCGAATAGAAAAGTGTATTAAGCTACGTGGTGAATACTTTGAAAAACAATAAAAAGTACTATAAGGTTCTAGTTGTGTTTTTTTCTTCAAACGACAAAACTTAAAAGGCATGCCTCGTGTATGTGTCATATTAAATATATATTCGATTATTTATTAATTTATTTTCTTAAATTGTTAATATTAATTTATTTGTATATTTGTCGGACGCACAAACAATCTTTGTTATTAGTGAATTAGCCTGCGCGCCGACTCCCACTCGTGCCCCGAAGGTGCGAAACCGGTCGCCGTGCGCGCCGGCGCGGCCGTTCGTGTTAGCCCGGCAGTCGGTTGAAACATTCGGGACGCGAAGCCGACATTTGCTTCTACATCGCTCTTGCCTATACCGCCGCTTTCTAAAATCTGTGATTGTGCTATTTTACTCTTGCTATTTTCCTTGCGCCTACTCCTTCTGAATGTAACTAAAGTGTGCCTATCAAGTTTATTTTTCTTTTCAAACTTCTACCCACTTGTAAACGGTAAGTCACATCTTACTTACACACTAAACGTACAACAGCGTACCATCCAGCGTGCAACGGCTTGGTAGAGAAGTTTCACAGGCAGCTGAAAGCCGCTATTATCTGTCACTCCAACTATAACTAGGTCAAGTCACTTCCGTTAGTACTCCTAGGTATCAGAAGCGCTTACAAAGAAGACTTGAAAGCTACGCCTTCCGAACTACTATATGGTGAATCGCTTTTGCTACCAGGTGATTTATTTCAGCCAGTCAGCCAGTCTTCGCCAAGCGTCTCCAGCCGTCACCAGCATCTCGACACGGTAGTAAGCCGACTTTTGTATTTAAAGACTTGACCACTACCAACCAAGTCTTTCTCAGGGACGAGACCATTGGTTCACTTAAGCCCTCCATCACTGGACCGTACGAAGTACTACAGCGAGGAGACAAAGTTTTTAAAATACTTGTCAACGGAAACACAGTAACAGTGTCAATAGACCGCATGAAGCCAGCTTACATTCTCAACGACACCGTCACTGACACGAACATTAACTTACAACTACAAACACGTGAAATCGGTTAGGATCTACTGCGTTTATTTATATTTATAATGTCGATGACGGTAAAATGTGCAAGTTGCAATATCGTTATAATCGAGCTGTTAGCTTATATACAAAACAAAATTTCTATTATCACTGAAGAAAGTTTAATCAAGATATGTTTGTCATCGTTTAGTAGTGATCAAATTGTTCAGGCAAAGTCGTTGCTTTTCGAATCATTACCCACCGAATACCGGAAAAAAGTGCGTAAAGGACAAGGTAAAGAAAATCGTGACGTGACGGATATCATCAGCCTATTCAAGGTGGTAGACACTGATATGATGCCAGTGTTTGTAGCCCGTGATCTGGAGAAGCTACCTCCGATAACCTTCGACCATTTGGACGGGTCTAAACTACTCAAAGACCTCATATTGGTTCAGTCCGAGATTGAAAACATCAAATCCTCTTATGTGATGAAGACTCGATTAGAGGAAGAAGTAAAGAGTCAGCTGCAGGATTTGAGGTACTATGTACAAGCGTTTTCAATAAGTAATGTAAACATTAAAAAAGGAGGCGCGTGTGCTTATCAGGGGCAAGATAGTGGGCCAATGGGATTATCCCATCTCAAAGACTCTTCCTTAAGCGAACTGAGCAATACCTCGAAATATGCATCGTCACCGAATGAGCATTTGAATTATCGAAATATAATTACGAATGATAATTCGAATGAGGGTAGTAAAAATATTCCGGCAAACGCAATACTGTCGATGGAGTGCAAGCGGTTGGGCCGGTTGGACAGTGACGTAGCGGGGCAGGGGTTCCGCGTAGCACTGAGCGAGTGAGACATGGTTGTTGCCAAGTGACCTATCATACTTAAACAGCATTGATGACGAGTTTAGCTGCACTGGAACCTCTGCGGTGGATACGGCATGTTACGAGAACGTCCTCACGGCGGTGTCGGGTTACTCTGGCGGCAAAAAGTGTTTCCTAATGTGATAGTGGTGCAGTGCAATAACCCTCGAATTTGATCAATGCTCAGTCGGGTGAAAGGTTAGGTTATAGTGTTACAGCTAGCCCCGCATGGGCGACGCAGCGCCGGGCCCTCACTGCAGTCATCGGAGCAGATCTCCCGCTACCGGCCGTAATTCACTCCATGGCCGGTAGCGACAGTTGTTTTACCGCGGACGCAACCTTCTGCGAGGAGGTAATCTCGCAGAAGGAGGCGGCGGAGAAGGCCCGGGAGGACGACCTCCACTCGGACCTGATCCGCCGCCGGCGAACCGGGCGGCGGAGGCGCGCTCACCTGCGCCTCATGCCGCCCTGAGTGTGGCCGTGGGTGGACGGGATGGGTTCTCCCCTCCACCCGCATTAAATGGCCAGCCGCGAGGGGGCGGCGTCCGCGTGTGCCGGACGTCGCCTAAAGAGAGGAAAGTTTTGGTTTAAACTGGAAGCGCAAAGAGGGCACACCGTGTGGTTTTAGTCGGTTCGAGTCCGACACACCGCTCCGTCGAGACGAGAGCCCCGGCGGGGTGACGGTCCGAGGGGATTTCCACACGTAAAAAAAAAAAAAAAATTGTGTTACAGCTAAAGAAATAAGTTAGGTAATTAAATCCATGACTAGAGGTAAATCTACCGGTCATGACGGTTTGAATATTGAACATCTGCAGCATCACATCATCAGCCTTTAATAGTCCACTGCTGGACATAGGCCTCTCCTTAGAAAGGAGGTTTTGGCCTAGGGGAGGCCGGGGTTCAGGTTGTTCCGATTGAAATAGCTCCGCGAAGAAAAGAGATAGCAATAGATGTGAAGTGCGTCGCGAAAAGACATATCATCGCGCCATTGCGTCAGCCATTTTAGTGACGCTCTGTCCGCGTGTTAGCGTGGTAGTCGATTAGTGACACTCAAACATCACGTAAGTAAATTTTTTCGTCATCATACTTTTTGGTCTATTTCAATCAATTTTCTAGCTATTTATGTGTGACTTGCTATTATCTGTCGAGCAAACTATAGTGATTATCTTTTTAATATCTGGCTTTTGAAAACCAATTCTATTATAATTGGATGTTACTTTAGAAAATAGAATATGGGGTTCCAAGTTCCTCTGGCGGGGGGCTAGTTGTTCCGCGGAACAACCTGCCCGTAATGAACACGTAAATAATAAAATTAAAACTTTGTTTTAGGATGAGAAAATATAAACGAAAAACCGAACGGGGCAAAGTTTCAATTGAGCTTTTGCAGCGGGCTGCTGATGCTGTTATTAAAGATGGTCGTAAACTTAAGACGGTAGCTCGGGAATTAGAGATATGTCATATGACATTGTTTCGCTTTGTCAAAAAGTTGAAAGCTGGTGTAACACCTACTGTGGGTTACTATTCTAGACAGGTGTTCAACCAAGACCAGGAGAAGACATTGGCGGATTATTTATTAAATTGTTCATCAATTTACTTTGGTCTTTTGCCAGAAGAAGTAAGGAAGTTGGCCTATAGTTGCGCTGTCAAATTTGACATGCCTAATATTCCGGTCTCTTGGCATAGAAATAAAGAAGCTAAATCTGATTGGTTCACTAGTTTTCTGAAAAGAAATCCGTCTTTGTCGTTAAGAGCTCCGGAAGCCACAAGTGCAGGACGCGCATCCTCTTTTAACCGGCACAACGTTCATGAATTCTTTAGCAAGCTCGGAGACGTCATATTGAAATATAACTTGCTACCGTCTAGAATTTGGAACTTGGACGGACTGCTATTCCAAAGATCGCTCAAGTCAAACATTTGTGTGCATGAACATTTGATGTTTGATTTGGTCTGGGTGTTTCTATATATTATATGTATGTATTTTCAAAAAAAATGTTTAAATGTATTTATATCAGTTGTCTAGTAGCCATAGTACAAGCTCTGCTTAGTTTGGGACTAGATGGCGTTGTGTGTATGTGGTAGAATATTATTATTATTAAAATAGTCGCTGCAAAAGGCGTTAAACGAGTGGGTGCCATAGTGTCAGCGGAGCGAGGAACTTTAGTTACCGTTGAACTTGCAGCAAATGCAGTGGGAAATACTGTACCACCTATGTTTATTTTTCCGCGCCTTAAATATAAGGACTTATTTATTCGAGATGGTCCCACGGAGAGTATTGGAGCTGGAAATAGCTCGGGATGGATGACGGCTAAAGAATTCCTCATATTTATGGACTATTTTATAAAACATACAAAGCCCACTCCCGAAGACCCCGTATTGTTATTGCTTGATAACCATCAATCACATGTTGACATTGATGTGGTTGAAAAGGCAAAGGCCAATTCGGTTATAATGTTGTCTTTCCCGCCATATTGTACCCATAATTTGCAACCACTAGATGTTGGCGTTAATGGACCGTTTAAAACGTATTGTGCCAAAGCGCAAGAAAACAGGCTACGTAATAATCCAGGCAAGACAATGTCTATTTATGAGATATCTGGAATTGTCAAACATGCATGGCCTTTAGCAGCTACACCAAATAACATTATGAACGCATTTAAAAAGGCAGGCATAAGTCCATACAACCCTGATATATTTACGGATGAAGATTTTGCCCCGTCGTTCGTAACTGATCGACCAATGCCCGACACTGCTAATATTTCATTGGAATTGGGAAATCTGGAACCACAGCTTCAAGAATTAGCAGACGTTAATGAACCTCAGGTGCATCATGATATGGAAACCATCCCAGATAACAAGCCACATCCAGCAATAATAGAATCAGCAACCAACGAACCTCAACCAGGACCCTCGCACATTGCTAATTTGCCAAATAATGTTGTCATTCAAGCCACATCTAGCACATTTTCACCTGAAGCTATTAAACCTTTACCAAAAGCACCACCAAGATCGTGTGTAACAACTTAGCGACGAATAAGAAAATCAGCAATACTGACAGATACGCCTGAAAAGAATGCTTTGGCTGAAGAAAAAGCAAAAAAAGTAAAGAGCAATAGTAAAATAAAGACGAAAGTTGAAAAAAGAGTCAAAAAGAAACTTTCTTTCGCTTATTTGTACCAGTTACTTTATGTAACTGGTACAAATAAGCGAAAGAAAGTTTCAAGTAAATCCGCAAATGGTAAAGAAAATGTGAAAAGGAAAGTCCTGCAAGACGATAATCATGGAAGTGATAGTGAAGAAGAGACCATGGAATGGTATTGTATAATATGTTGCAATTTATATTCCAACTCACGACCAGGTGAACAATGGATTGAATGCGTCATGTGTAAGAATTGGGCTCATTTAAAATGCCTGAAATCTGAAGATGTTCATTCTTGTGTTTGTCAAAATTGTAATTCTGACGACGACTCTGATTAATTTTTTTTAAGTTCTTCTGAAGACTGAAATGAATCTGTTGTCACAGAGTAGGTTTAGATTATTGATCTCAGTAAAATGAATGCTATAAGACTGAATTAAGAAACTATAACTCGAAATGTTAAAATTTGTTACTTTTGTTTTAATTAAAAGAAATAATTTTGTTTTTTTGACAAACAAACGTTTGTCAAAGTTGATTAGGTAATATTAAAAATGTTTATTACTCTTAAGTCTATTAATTAGGTTGTACTACACTATTAACTGGTAGTTAATGCTTGTTATTATTTTATGTTTGTAGTTTTGTTCATTACATTTTTAAATTTTGTTGAAAAATGTGCAAAAAACATTAAGATTTTGTACTTTTCTAAATAAAACTCTCATAAATATTCAATTACATATACCTTATTTATTTTATATAATACCTTTCCAACTAATACTACATTATTAGGGACTGGAGTTGATAAGCGGAACAACTTACCTCAGCTGAGGAACAACCAGTCCCTTTGTGGGGCGAGTTGTTCCTTGTCGACTTTTTACAGAAAAAATATCCTGAGCAAAAATATATGCTTATTACAAAGAACTTAAGTATATAATTTGAACTAGGATAAATTATGCACCATTTTTATATAGGAGTCGTTAATTTTAAACCTTTCTATTACATTCATATTGCCCCCGACTCCAAAATCGGAACGTCGAACCCCGGCCTCCCCTACTACACCACGCTGGCCAGACGGGTTGGTATAGGGTTTGTGTCAAGTTTTCCTTCTTTTTGCAGTGCTGGTGACCTACGTTGTTTTGCGCCCTTAGTCGGCTCTAACGACACCCACGGGATGAATTGGGGTAGTGACATTCCGTATTCTTAATCCGTCACTACACGGACAACTGCAGCATGCGTGGCCCCATTTACCGAGATTGGTAGCTATACTGTTTAATCTTTGTGTGAGTCACGCATACCTACCTGATTCCTATTGTAAAAAATAAAAATTAGAGGCGTTCAGGCATAATCCCGCGGATGGTAGCTTCGCACCACCGGCCGCTCGGCCGAGTGCATAAACCAAATGTCCGAAACTGCGGTTCCTCTCGTAGTGAGCAGTATTACTATCGCAACGACCAGCCATCCGTAGGGTAAAACTAACCTGTCTCACGACGGTCTAAACTCAGCTCACGTTCCCTTTTGATGGGTGAATAATCCAACGCTTGGCGAATTTTGCTTCGCAATGATAGGAAGAGCCGACATCGAAGGATCAAGAAGCAACGTCGCTATGAACGCTTGGCTGCCACAAGCCAGTTATCCCTGTGGTAACTTTTCTGGCACCTCTTGCTAAAAACTCTTTATACTAAAGGATCGATAGGCCGTGCTTTCGCAGTCCCTATGCGTACTGAACATCTGGATCAAGCCAGCTTTTACCCTTTTGCTCCACGCGAGGTTTCTGTCTTCGCTGAGCTTGCCTTAGGACACCTGCGTTATTCTTTGACAGATCTACCGCCCCAGTCAAACTACCCGCCTGGCAGTGTCCTCGAACCGGATCACGCGTGAGTTGTACGGCGACGAGCGTTGCCGCCACGTCACCACTCTGCACGCTTGGAACGAAACACCGTGCGCCCGCCGATTATGATCGACCGCGCACCGCTTCCGCCCAGCAGAGTAAGTAATGAAACAATGAAAGTAGTGGTTTTTCAGCGACGATCGCGCGAACGATATCCCACTTATGCTACACCTCTCATGTCTCCTTACAATGCCAGACTAGAGTCAAGCTCAACAGGGTCTTCTTTCCCCGCTGATTCTCCCAAACCCGTTCCCTTGGCTGTGGTTTCGCTAGATAGTAGATAGGGACAGTGGGAATCTCGTTAATCCATTCATGCGCGTCACTAATTAGATGACGAGGCATTTGGCTATTTTAGCTCATGTTTGATGATGCCCCATCTTAGCAACAGTTTCGTAATTATCATGGATTGTTCCAACGAGGCCCCCAACGTCCCCCTATTGTTGGCAAACATGTATTGCTCCGATTGGTGTTCAACGGCCTGCTGATGTTAAATTTGGGATAGTGTGACCTAATGTCATGGCGAGCAGGCCTGGGCTCGCAGGCAACCCTTTCACAGGTTACCCGGACACTCGTACCACCTCCCTGCGAACCCTGTCAGGTCGTGTGGTTGAAGCGTGTCCAGTTCGTGTGCGAGCCTCTCAAGACCATCGGTGGTATAGCACTTAACAACGTCTTCGCAAGCCCGATATGCCTCAGCGATCTGTATGACGTCGGGCTCCATACACCACGCCAGGATAGTGTGTCCAAGCAAACTGGCGACCCGCTCGACTAGCTCCACGTGAGTACCGTACTTGTTACGCTTCTCTCGATGGAGCCCATTCAGCGATTGCCGACCAGATACTATTTGCGCATCGACTATCACCCCACCATTCTCCTTTGCGGCAATGATATCCGGCTTGCGAAGTCCGAGAGATGTCCTTATCCTTGGTTCCCTAACCACGGTCCATCCTGCTCCTGCCATCCCAGAACTCACGACGTCAGCTATCTTGTCGTGGCGGAGAATACGTCCGCCGTGCGTTCTGTAGCACTGCTGGATGCAATGGGCAGTCGTTTCCCTAACCGCACAGCCTGCGCGGCAGTTCAACTCCAGACCTTCGCCCCGGCGCCCACTAGAGTTAGCGGCCCCCTAGACGGGAGCGCATTTATATGGCAGTGCACGAACTGCACGTAATCGCGGCCCGTAATCTCAGCGCTTCGCTCTCGCATCCACTTAGTGGACGCGGTGGTCTTACATGATTCCCGGAGTTCGGAACCATCATTCGAAGCATACAGCGCCTCACGCCAATACATAGCCGTCGTCCGTTCTCCGGCTGTCGGATCTTCCCGTGTCAGCTTAAGCAAACGCTTATTTGCCGTCCGCAGCTTCCTGCGGATCTTGTCAGATCTGGTGGCTGCTCTCGCCACTGACCATCCCGAGGACTCCATACGACCGAATCTCTTAACAATGAGATCCGGCACACATGACCTCAGCGATGGGACCGCTAAGCCTCCGTCCTTGGTTGCCGTGGAAATACCCAGTGGGTACATCCTTTGGGAGCCTGAGCCATTGACCGGTCATCCGATAAGAGAGTCATAGTTACTCCCGCCGTTTACCCGCGCATGCTTGAATTTCTTCACGTTGACATTCAGAGCACTGGGCAGAAATCACATTGCGTCAACACCCGCGAGGGCCATCGCAATGCTTTGTTTTAATTAGACAGTCGGATTTCCCTTGTCCGTGCCAGTTCTGACCTGACCGTTGAACGGCGGTCGTAAAGAACCGCATCGATCGCCCACGAGTCGAAACCGACACGGCCTTACGACTAGGAAGATCCGCGGAAGGCCGGAACGCGGGTCTGGATTCCCCCCTCACGCCTAGAGAGACGCGAGACCATCGACCAGGCCCGGCACAATTTATCAGATAGCAATAACTACAGGCCCATCTCTCTTGCCACAGTTATATCGAAAGTGTTTGACGGCATGCTGAACTCACAGCTGACCCAACACATCAAACTTCATGACAATCAGTTCGGCTTTCGAGCCGAACTGATTGTCATGATCTACTGAAGGAAGTTTTGTGTGTTAAGCATGCTGTCAGATACTATACAAGACGTCAAACTGCAGTCCACGCATGCTTTCTCGACCTTTTCGAAAGCTTTTGACCTGGTTTCCTACGATATTTTATGGAGAAAGTTAGAAAAGACAAGTCTACCAGTAGAACTCATTAACATCTGCAAGTACTGGTATGGAAACTAGGTCAATGGCATGCGATGGTCGGGAACCATGTCGCAATCGTACAGGCTGGAGTGTGGGGTGAGGTAAGGAGGGTTATCCTCGCCAACCTTATTTAACCTGTACATGAATGACCTGATCGGTGCACTTAGCAGCACACGTGTGGGCTGTCACAAAGATGGAATTAATGTTAACAATATAAGCTACGCTGATGACATGGTGCTGCTGAGTGCATCTGTGTGTGGATTAAAGAAACTGCTTACAATTTGTGAAGCATACGCCGAACATCATGGATTAAAATTATAATCCAATAAAAAGTAAAGTCATGGTCTTTGAGGCCAGAGGAAGCAGTACAGGTAAGGAGCTTTGTTAGATACTCGTATGTATCAAAATAATAATTTAGTGTACATTAGTCTATTATGATATTTAAAACTGTGTAATTGTTTATGGTTGTATTCTATTAAGAACTAAAATTTAGTCTGTGGAAAGCAACGTGTAGTTTTAATAGGTTATGGGCCCAGTCCCGCATTAAAAATATAAAATTTATAGTTATCTAAGGTGAAATGGCTGGAAGTTACATAATTAACGTTCCCAAACTCAAGGGTCGTGAAAATTACGATGAGTGGGCATTCGCGGCGGAGAATTTCTTGATTTTGGAAGGCGTCGATATCAGCAAGCCAGAAGCCGGTGATAGCGGAATTGACGATCAAAAGGCAAAAGCTAAGTTGGTGATGACAATAGATTCGTCTTTATATGTGCATATAAAGAATGAGAAGTCAGTTTTGGGTGTATGGAAGAAACTCAAGACACTCTTCGACGATTCGGGTTTCACACGCAGGATTACCTTATTACGAAATCTGATTTCCATACGCCTTGAAGACAGTGAGTCAATGACGGCATACGTTACGCAGCTCATAGATACGGCGCAAAAATTAAGAGGTACCGGGTTCGATATAAATGAGGAATGGATCGGATCGCTATTGTTGACAGGTTTACCCGACAAATTTTCGCCTATGATAATGGCGATCGAACATTCGGGATTGGCTATATCAACTGACGTCATTAAAACAAAACTGTTGGATATGAGTGATAATGTTGGCAACAGTGAGTCCGAAGGCGCATTTTTATCGTCTAAAGGTTGGCAGCGTAATAAAGCTTTTTTTCGTGGGTAGGTGTTGAAAAAGTCAATACATAGTTTTCAAAAGCTCAAAATTTATTTAAATTATTTATACCTAAATTACATCTAAATACAGTAAATTATTATTTATTCTTATAACACTTACAGTTACTATCCTGTTTATACATTGATCTAAGTGTTTAAGCCACCTGCCAGCTTATTTGCTCATTTCATAATCCAACAACAAATTATCAATTTTTTTTTTCAACCATCTCTGCAATCTTCGGTAACAATGTCTCAACTTTCTGACATACAAGCGGCACAGTGTAGTTTAGAAGAAAGTTTCTCCAAAAGGATGGCCCAGCTTGAAGCACAACTGCATACTGGAGGTAACTCCAAGGAAACTGTTGCAAGAGTCTCGGAGGAGTTTAGAGCATTCCGGGAGTTAATGTTTAACATGCTGGGTCTGCTTCGCAAGCAAATCAGTGAGTGTGCCAAAATGGTGGACATCATGGAGACCCGCCATCGACGTAAGGCACTTGTCTTTCTCGGAGTGCCTGAAGCCATCAAGGAGGACTGTACTAAGACCTTGCTTGTGATCCTTAATCAGAAGATGGGTCTCAAAGACGTTACAACAACCACCATCAAAACTTGTCACCGGATTGGTGCTCCATCCAAGGACCGTCGTCGCCCGGTGCTGGTAAGATTTTCTTCGGCGGAGGTTCGAGCTGCAGTCTGGAAGGCGAAGACGACGCTGAAGGGGACCGGCTTCTCGGTAAGAGAATTTCTTACTAGAACCAGACAGGCGACCTTCAACATGGCCCGCCAACATTTCGGCATGTCGGCCTGCTGGACACAAGATGGCACGATAATCGTCAAACCTTCCGATAATAGCCGCCATAAAATAACATCACCGGAAGAGCTGGAACCACTCATAGCCAAATACCCTAAGGCTACATCCCCGCCCAAAGCGAGTTCGAGTACGGCCGCTAAAAGTTCGCGGAGACAGTGACCGTTTTGCACTACTGCACAGTTGTCATCATTTATAAACACATTTTGGTTGTTCATATAATTAGTTTGTTGATATCAAAACACAAGTACGCAGGGTTTTTGTATTGTTTAGATTGCATATCGTAAATCAGAACAATTTGTGACAACAACTAGTGTCATCTGTCAAGATAACGTTTGTTTATTTTAATTTTTTTAATTTTTAGGTGCGTTCGGAAATTGTATAGTTGAATGTCTGTCTTCTATTTTGCTTTCCTCCTTACTTATTATTTTATTTTATTTTCTTGTTTATTCTCTTGTCTATTTCTCTATTTAATTTAATTGAATCATTTATGCTTACTATATATTTCGATCATGTTTAATGTCACAAATCTTACTTTGTTTTAGTACATTAATTCTGTGTGTGTCTGCTGGCGGGTGGTGTAGAAATGCAATTTGCCAACTCCAGCCTATATATCATAAAACCTACATATATATATTATTATTTTTGTTTTTAGTACATATTTATTATATACTTCATATAGTATTTTAGTAGGTATTTTTTTCTTTTTTTATAGTATATTATACACTTATGATGATGACCGATGATGAAGCTGACATATATTTTTCTGCCGATGACTCTTCCGAAGATGCCAGTTATAGTTCCTTGACAGAGACTCTGGGCGACCAATTACGGCAAACATGTCCCGTTCAATCTTGTCCTTCTCTAAATGTTTGCCATATAAATGCGCAAAGTGTCCCAAGTCATTTTAGCGATTTAACCGAGACTTTCTCTGACAACAACGTTCATGCCGTCCTGATTTCGGAGACTTGGCTCAAGCCCCACCTACCCTCCACCTCATATCCTCTCTCTGGCTTTTTACTTATCCGCAATGACCGTTTAGATAAAAGAGGTGGGGGCGTCGCTATCTACCTTCGTAGTTACTTACCTTATAAAATCCTCGCCTCTTCCTCCTCCAACCTTTCCACCTACGCAGAATACCTATTCCTCGAAGTTTGTGTCAAGGGAGTCAACGTAATTCTAGGTGTAGTCTACTGCCCCCCAACCGTTAACTACTTCTCTAGTCTGGAAACAGTTCTGGAATCTTTAGGGTCGGAACACTCGCATCACATCATCATGGGCGATTTCAACACTGACCTCCTAGCCCCAAACACTCCTCGTACACGCAATCTCCTTCAGATCATCCAAGCAACCAGCCTTCATATCCTGCCCCTTCAAGCCACTCACCACAATTTAGACTACCAGGATACCTGGCTAGATCTAATGCTCACCTCTGCCCCACACCTTGTCTCTTCCCATGGACAACTCCTTGCCCCTGGTTTTTCCCATCATGACCTTATCTTCCTCTCCTATATCCTGAAACCTCCTAAACCACCTCCTAAACTTCTACAGATCCGCAGTTTCCGACGCATGGATGTTGACAAATTACACGCAGATGCTGCTAAGATCGATTGGGAGGATATGGCAGCTGCCACCGACGTGGACAACAAAATTCGTATTTTTAATGACACCATTTTGAAATTGTATGACGTCCACGCTCCTATCAGGAGAGTAAAACTAAAACGTGCCCCGGCGCCTTGGATGACGAATGAGGTTCGAACTGCTATGAGACGAAGGGACCAGTCCTTTCTTCGTTTCAAGAAAGATCGCTGCGAAGACAAATGGAACCTTTATAAGGCTGCAAGGAATCGGTGCAACCAGGTGATACGCAACGCTAAACGCCGACATATTCTTCAAAACATAGAGTCTTCTTCTTCATCCAGTATCTGGAAATTTCTTGGTACTCTAGGAATTGGTAAACAACAGCATCACGTGTTTAACAATAAAATTGGTT